AAATTATGTGGCGTTTATTAAAAATTTAAGTTTGAAATATAATTTTTATGAAGTAATTTTTATATTTTTTTAACTGAGTTTTGTAAAACTCTGTTTGTTTTTGCATTTTAATAGAACTTTCTTTCAAATTTAAATTTTTTCTCTTTACTTTAAATTATTTTTTTGTATTTTTAAATTATTTTGATGTGCTGATAAAAAACATATTTTAAAAAAATAAAAAAATATTTTGATGCATTTCCAAGTGAAAAACATTTTTAAAAAGCAATCACAACCAAGTAGTTTATACATATTTTTTGTTGTAAATAAACCTCAATCATAATTTTTAACAAACACATATCTAAATCCAATTAACTATACTTAATCATATTTTTTTAAATTATTCTTTTAAATCACCGTAATAAAAATTACTTTAAAAACAAACACATAAACCAAGATGTCATATCAATCCTTTTAATTAGTTACACCACATGTTACCTCAATGCAATACATCCACGCATTTTCCATAATACAAAGAAGAAATTGCAACTTTGATTTCACATTCTTCAAGGTGTAAATTCTAAGTGCGTTTAGGAATTCCTAGTAAACACATTCTTTCTAAAAAATCACTTAACTTCTACATGACATTGATGAATCCAGGATTTACACCTCTAATCACTAGACTCATGATATAGAGCACAAGATAAAACCCAAAAAAGTACAAATTCAAAAACCTAATAGGTCATGAAGTATCCAGGGGTGCAAAGCTAGAGTATGAATTACATATATTTAAATCTAAACATGTTGTATAACTCATTGCTTTATTAGATCCAAAAAAAATATTTTAACTTATAAGAAGTTAAGTTGACCCAACTGGCCCACAATGCATTAGCCTATCAATAAGTTTATGATATGGCTATACACTCAGGTAGAGGGGCAAACATACATGAAGGCATAAGCCTGGTATAAACTTCTCAAATATATAAGTCTAAACAATCATACTCCAAATCTAAACTACTTCACCGATTCTCTATATTATTAATATCAAGCATTAAATACCCCTACATTCTCCTGTCATATCTAGGCCCACAAAACAATGTTGAGGATGTATATATCTAATGAATGACATGGATGACATCATTCTTTTTATTTATTAATGAATCACTGATCATTAGAGTTTATTATCCTAAATAATGGTCATTAAAATAAATATCATATTATTATTCTCACTCTACCATTATCTTTATACAAGTTGGTGTTGTTCATGAATATAAACTTTCATGAACCATAAGTAAAGCAAGCTTCAATTCTAGAATTCTGAGTGTATATTATTTTTTTTAAGTTCTGGTCATTATATCTTTTTTAATTTCTATAAACATATATATTACACAACCTTTAAGACTTCATTCCTTCTAAAATCATGTTAACTAATTATCAAAGGGTTTTATAAGCCTAATAAAGGCTTATTTTGAAGGTGGGTGCTCATGATTTTAAAGTCTTTTTTAGATTATTAATCAATTCTAATTAGAAAAGAGAATAAGGATGGTGAGATTCAAATTTATAATTATTTGGTAATACCAAATAATAATCTAAAAAAAAAACTTAAGTTGTTAAGTGAAATATCAAGATATGATTTATCATTCTTTAAGATGAAAAACTTTGAAAAAAAAAACTAGTTTTACATCTTTTCATTTTTAGTTTTTTTCATGGTTGATAATCTAAAACTCTAGGATATAGAAAGGTTATAGATCTTCTTAATATAAGTATTCTAGAAATATCACGAGATTTCTAACAATTATCTTAATAGATGAAATTGCTCATAAAAGCTTTTTAGGCACATGATTTTTTCAAGTTTACCTTTTATAAAATAATTTCAGCCTCATGTCTCGGGTTACGGGTTTAAAAGGTTAGTTTAAGTTGACTTAAGTTTTTTATTTCCTTTGGATTTTTTATCCATAAAATTTGATCATTATTTTTTTATTGTTATTTTTTTTTGTTTTTAATAATTTTTTAATTCATTGTTTTTTCAATTGCATTCCTCAATATTTTTTTCATTTTATTCTCATGTCAAATTTGGTATTTATTCTTTTAATTCCTATTTGTTTTGTTTTAGATTTTTTTATTTAAACTTTTTTTTTAATTTTATTGTTTAGTACTTAAAAATATATTTTTTATCAAGTTTTTATATTAGTATTTTGCACTCGAAGTGTTAATAATTCCTTAACTAAAGCATGTTTTATAATAATAAGTCTAATATTATAAGATACTTTTAATTTATGGTAAATATTCATCTTAAATGCAGACCTATTACATAATTAAAGGATTGATTGATGAGTTCAACTAATGAAATTAAGAAAACAAAAAGATGGTGAAGGTTCAACTAATGAAATTAAGAAAACAAAACTGGTTTAAAAAAGAGATACTGGTTTCAGTCCAAACTGAAATACTGCTCAGTCATTGAATCATAACTGAAGTTGTAGAAATTGAATTTGGGTCTGCTCTATATTGATGGAAAGCTAATACATATGCCTAAAAAAATCATGAGAATGCAAGACTCAATTATGCTGTTTTGAAATCCAAATTTTAGCAACAATGAAAAAGTTTGAATATGTCCTGTAGCCCAAACATTGTTTAATTTTCAACTTATATCTTAAGTTCTATAAGTCTAAATGACCTTAATCTTTTTTTTTTGTTAGAAAACTGAGATAATTTCTTAAAACTTTCATGAATTAAGTCTGTCCAAATTCTGATGTTAGCAATGACGTTTTGTTCAGACAAGAAGATAAGGATTGTCACAAAGTGAAGATGTGGCCACCCACTCAACAATTAGTCAACAAATCAATAATTTTCAATTTTGGCCTATAAAAGAAGGCATTTGCTATGCATTTAAGCATTTTGGTTTTCAGATCAAGATCATGTTCTTGTTCTTTCTTTATATTTTTGTAATGTTTAAGCTTTGCTTTCATTAATCTCTTGTTTATACTTTTCATTTCCTCTCCTTTACTTAGATATTTATAATCTGATTGGAACCTTCTTCGTGTGTAGTTTTCAATTGAGTAATAAAAAAAAATTTATATTGTACTTGTTTGAAATACCATTAGTGGTTTTCTAAATTTGACATTTGTTTTTATCATTGTTTAATCTTCATATTAATCCTACAATTTCAAAGTTCTTTTTAACTTATTATTATTATTATTATTATTGTTGTTGTTGTTGTTATTGTTTATAATTTATATAGTTAACCTTTCTGTGGTTCGACTTCGGTTTTGCTGGGTTATTTATTACTTCGACACTCCTATATTTGAGACTGTTGGTTAAGATTTTTTAATCGGTAATTTGATTTCATGATTTTTTTTTATGGGATAATTTCAACTTCAAGACTTAGGTCATAGATTTGAAAGGTTAATTCAAGTTAATTTATGTTTTTTTTTCTAGGTCTTTTTTTATAGTTGATTTTTTTATTTTTTTATGAAATTACCTCAATTTTTTTTTAGTTTAATGTGGGTGTCCGGGCTAATTTGCGTGCACCATGACTAATTCTACGGGTCCTGAAGTTAATGATCACGTAAGCTTTCAGTGACTATTATATGAGCAACCAAGGACTTGAATTTGAGACCATGGAGGGAGTAAACCCATTAATTCCAAATTCTTATCACTTTACTACCACCACCTAAATGATTAATTACCTCAATTTCATATACATGAGCAACTAAGGACTCGAATTTGAGACTATGGAGGGAGTAAGCCCATTAATTCTAAATTCTTATCATTTTACTACCACCACTTAAATGATTAATTACCTCAATTTCATATATATGATTAGGAATTTTATAAGTTAATTTAAATTAATTTAAGAATTTATTTTATTTGTTTGTTATTATACATATGATTATTGTCCCATTATGGGTGGGGGAAATAATCATAAAGTTGTTGAGAAGTGAAGGGGGATTTAAGGTCTGTTATTGGAGTTTCGTGTACGCAGGCAGCTACAGTTCTCCTAGGTGTTCTCATCCGAGCCGAGTGGGAGATGATTTTTGCCCCACAAGGCCTTTCAAATCTTCAATATTTGTACTATGTGAGTAAAAGGAGGTCCTGCGTTTCCTTAAAGCGCCGCAGATCTCCTAAAGTGTTTCAAAAAGATTTCTTTGCCCCTCCCGGTTCTTTTGCTCTGTCTTGTTGTGTTGACGTACATGGCACGCTGTATCTGTGGACTCCACCTATTCAACCCAGTTTCAGCTTTCAAGCTTTGCCGTGTATTAGTTTAGTCTCTGTTCATCGTTATCTTCGTTTTTTTGTATGGTTCTCTTGCAACGCCAGCTGAGGGTAGTGGTGTGCTTTTGACCACTTAGGATTACAGGCATGTCGGGCTGCTAATCCTGTGCTTCCAGTGTGAAATGGTAGAATCTTCTGCAAACGCTATCCTCCAGCATTAGAGGGAGCCCTCCACATTCCCCGAGCCAGATCCGTCAAACACCCAGCAGAGAAGGCAGTGGATTTTGGTTTCTCAGTTGACAGCAGTAGAAAAGCAGAGGTCAACAAGCAGGCATGAAAAAGAAAAACTGCCTGAGGGGAATCCACCCGTTCGATTTTCAATTTTCCATGCGTAAAAGCTTAGCAATTATCCGGGGAAGATAGCGTACTGTATTCTAGAGAGATTACGACTAGGTACTCCCTTTCCCATTCACATAAAAGCTTAGACAATTATCACAATGAGATCCATTTTCGTGCTTGGGAGCAATACACAGGAAGCATCCAATGCTATTTCATACTGACTGCAAGATGAATTGACTGTTTTGTAGCTGTGTTTACACAGAATTTTAGTAAATTTTGAATTTTATTTCTAGATCGTTTGCATATGGTAATATCACTAATAAAAAAAATTTAATTTTTTTTAAATATATTTTTAAATAAAAAACACAAAATCAAACTCAACCATTCCACCAAACAATGCATGGAAAGCAAAGGGATGGAAACTTTTCCTAATTTTGATTTAAACGTTCAAACTCTCTCTCAGAGACAGATGGTTTATGAAACTACAATCATGCAAGGGTGATTATACAGATCTGTGAACCATTACAATCTCAAATATAAACAGGTTCCCCTCTCGCGTAAAGATAAATTTTCCTTCACTCAGTGAACAAAGATATTTGTGCAGACATCTTCCGATTGAAGCTATTCAGTAGATTACTCTCCGGAGATTGCTATTTAAGGATATGAACTCCTCTGGAAAACACACTGGGTACACTCCTCTGGATCAATTCTGTAGCACTGGCTGCTGCCACCATCAACAAAAGCTAGGCAGTATCCAGATTGATTGGATTGCAATTGATCCTGACAATCCCAATTTCTAACTTGTTTCTTAATTAGGATTCCAAAGCAATCTGCGTGACTGTGCAGGTGGGGCTAAACCTGGAATATCCCGAATGTCCTTGTTTTTTGGGTTTACCAGCTGAAAAATCAAGGGCAAAGATAAATAAGGAACATTTTGCAGAAATTACCTCTAGACGAACAAATAATGCAAGCAAGCTAGTCAACTTGACAAATAGTATTTTGAAGAGTAATAACTTCAGAAAAACACGAGATTTGTTGCGTAATAAGCATTCATCTGGTGAAACAGTAGCGGGTTCTCACAAAAAGGACACTTTCACGATTACAACATGGGACAATGAAGTCGAACTCTAATGCAACTTGGGACATTCTTCCACAATAACTTGAATGCATTTACTGATCCAACTAAAATATTTGAAAATAAATTATTAGAGTGCATAAACCAATCAAAAAACCCAACTTCATAGTGTATGTCAATGAGAGTTTAATTTGATCATGTAGAAGTTCTTGTATCTGCCCAGTAGTTGCTGCACTAATGGAGGTTGAAAGACAATAATAGGAACTTGGATTCAGGTCTTAATTGTAAGGTGTCAATATTTTCTTAAGTGATGGCTGAAAATGAAACTTCTGCAGCTTCCATAATCCATGAGATTTCTCACGCAAATAAGTGAGAGCAAATAAGTGAGATAACTGAACTTCGAGCAATGGTGAAAATTACTTAACAAATGATCTCCTTAAATGCAATTTATGCAAGCTCTAGCTGAAGCGCTGAACTAAGGTTAGGGGTTAGATTTTTCTTGTTCAAGCAGACCTCAACTGCTCATGAACATGCTTCAACCCTAATAGAAAATGCAAAATTCCATCATGAATTGCTGATATGATACTGTCAGCAATCTCAAAGTGCTACCTAGCTTATAAGGGCCATTACCCAGTAAAGATCCCAACATTTTGGGGTCTGTAGGGCTGAGCTAGTATGCATGGGGGGGATTTCATCAATTTGAAAGGTGGACTATTTATACGCAAAAACTCTTTGAGATTTCTTTCAGCTCTTACAGATCTGTGAATATGAGAGGGTCAACGGAAGCTTAATTTATTACTAGGAGGCTCAATTTCAAAAGATGTTATGCGGAAAAGATACCTCACCACACCAAACAACAGACAATTAGAGCATGTCCATGAAGCTTTGTTTGAATTAGAAAAGAAATCAGAGATTTAACGTGATTTACAAACAGGCAACAAAAGTAAGATTTCATTGATTAGGAAATACGATAATTAAAAGAAAACAAGTGTATGATATACCTTCACTACAATGATTGCTATGACTCCAATAACAACAAGGAAGAGTAATGCCATAATGCACTTGTCAGTTGCAACCTGGTGGAAAAACTTTCAAGTAAGTAAACCCCATTACAACTAGGCCTGGTAAATGAAAGAAAACAAAGTGGATATTTTGGAAAATGACCTGCCTACCAATTTCCTTCACCATTTTAGAAGCTTTCTTGATCGAGAAATGGATAGAGTCGAGCTCATTAACAATCCTACTCATTTGTTCAGTCTGGACAGAAAAAATGTTCTTAGTTTACAGGCCATTGAAAGATAAAATGATTTTACTTTTCCTTTTCTTTTGAAAGGAAAAGCAACTGTCAACTCTAGGATATTACAAACTGAAATTATGTTAATTTTTCAAATTCTGTCAAAGTATGTACCTGAGCCTTAAGAGCCTCTGCAGTTTCTCTTCCAACATTGACGGTGTCTTGAACAACCTAGCATAAAAATAGAAAGAAATACAAACGTCAAATGTCAGACTCGGAAACAGGAGATACCATTCTACAATTTCCTTATTTTTTCTGGGGTTGGGGTGTGTGGTAATCAATATTTTTTGGCCTTTTACAAGGATCCAATCAAGGAAAATTAGGTTTTGAGCTTTCATTTTACTAAAACGTTAAGAGGAAAGCTTATGAATGTCCAAGTATTATACTGCAAAACTATCAAATTCTGCACTGGCTTCTCATGTCTCTATAGATGGTGGTGCTCATAGTAGGTGGAGTATAAACGCTGCAAAGAATCTTTAGCCAACTTCATCATAAGGGAAGCAATCCATCACAGATCCTGAGAGGTAAATGACTAGAATATACCTTATTCAAGAGCAATAGTAAGTTTGGAGCTTCTAAGTTAAAAGAAGTCTGGATTAAGCCTCAGAGGGGCATTGGAAAAACTTTAGATTCTGATAGGTGGGCAAGGAGTTAGGTGTTGCAGTGAATCGGAATATCTATTAAACGGTGCATGCCACTCTAATCTTGTAAATATTGCTCCAAGTAGGAAACATTGAATAGGTACATGATTTGCAAGCATTTTCAGTAGCATATCTTCTATGCAATGGTACATCAATGAGTTTGAGTGTAATTCAACAAGTTTCAGGAGAGCATGCACTTCCAAATAAAATTTGAGCTTCTAAGCAACTAAGCTACCCTTTTTTTTTTCCTCCTTTTGATTTCAGTAACTGAATCGCTTAGCTCCCTTTCAGATCATCCATATTTATAAGACCTATATGACATACTATCCTTGATCAATTGAGTCACACTTTCACCTGCCATTCCAAATCAAGTTTGAGGATTTAAGCAACAAAGCTTTTTGTTCCTTTCACTGTTATTTCAGTAATGGGATCGCATTATCTTGACTGTCCATATGAAGAAGACCTATATTTTTACCACCAAGTTACTGATTGTTAATTAGCCCTTTTTTCTTCCAGGGCTACTCCTTAACCATTCTCATTTTGAAGCCTATGCCAATGGATACATGACCCGAATGTGATGCAGCAACTCTGCACTGCCTTGGATGACTACCAGTTTATGACTTTATGGGAATCAGGCTGCTTTAACTGAACACTTGTGTGTTAAGCATATTGATAATGGAAGGAAACTCCTACGTGTTTATCAATCAGTTCTCCCTGCATTTTCTCTTCTATAGGTTCCCCTATTACAATTGGAAGAAGAAGAGAGAACAGATCTATCTTTGAGTTTGAGGCTTTTTCCTTTTTCTTTCAATCCTCATTAAAAGGTAGGACTGTCATCCAAGCTTTGTGGCCGGATGCTGATTCTGTAGTAAACCTTGAAAGTAAAATGAAAGAAACACAGTACTCTAGGAGAATTGGTTATAACTTTCCAGTCGAAGAAAAATTATATGGCATGCAATTAAAAACTCTTGTTAGCAATCAAACTATGACAAACAGGAAATGTAAAGAGGAGAGGTATCTTGGAGATGATTTTGAAATTGAAGCATCTAAACTGGTAAGTTAGCTTCACCAAAAAAGGCTAGAATTGAAAAGTGCATAGATTGCAAAAGGATAAAAAAAAAAATAGCATGTCACAGAAAATGGATACAAACCAACCTTTTTTCCCCTCTCAATTGCCTGATCAGTCTCATCCATCATCTGATTTCCATGATCCATTATTTGTTGGTTTGTCATAGCTGCAAATATAGTATAGATTTTATCTCAAATACAGTTCAACAAAAGTCAAATTACACTGTCTATTATCCCATTCATTTAAACACACCAATAGTTAACTGTATCAAATGCAAGACAAGATCAAGAAACAGAAGGCATTGGTATATTGAAGCACCACAGAGAGAAGAAGAGTTTTTATTTGTGAAACAAGTAATAAGAAACACTATAGATAGTGAATTCCAAGCTCATTTTTTAACCATGCCATTAGAAGTTTCTTTCCTTTACCTTTTATCTCTCAAGTACAAAAAAACTTCACTGTCAAATCCTGAAGCAAATCAGAAATTCATAACTGTCAAATTCAATTAGTTTGCACATCTCCAAGAAGAGTACCAAATTTATTCACAACCTTCTGCTATATCATCTGTCACATTTTACCTGGGACTCTCCCATCTAAAACTAGTCACCATTTTTATCATACACATTCTTCAAGTAAAATAGATTTTCTAAGATCCTTTTCAAAAAGGATCCAATGATTTGTTGATAACTATTTAGGGCAAGTCATCAATTAATAGAAAATCTCACGCTTGGAGTGGACAAACTTAAGAATGGCATGCTTAAAACATGTGAAACTCAAGGACATCCAATCCAGTTCAACATTATACCCACAAAAGGCTAAAACCAAATGAATGATAGTTAATGCAATTCTATCGCAATGGAGAGCGGATGGATGCACTACAAAAGGTTAATGTAGGAAGCACAACCGTTATCATGGTACTAGCAAAGATGGATCCAACTTGACCCTGCTTTACATTAGTAAAAAAAAAAAAACAAAGGAAAACTTAACCCTACCCTCACTAGTTAAAGACAAGGTGGGAGTTAATATTCATCTACTCAATATGATAACATGTGCGGTGTATGTCTCCACTTTTATCAGGCATTGCAGTGAAAGCACTGCACCTTCAAATACTGAAACAAGAACTACACCTTGGTGAACGGCATGCTAGGTTTCACTGTTGAATATGACACCCTTGGTTTTGACGGATGGCATCTCTTAGAAAGAGAAGAAACAAAGAGAGTGGGGAAAGAGTGCACGGGACACTTATCCCTCCATGGATCCTCTTAGTGGTCCATTTCCACCTTCTTAGCTCACCTATGACTTCACATTCCCAAGCAGCTCTACTCATGCAAATAATAAGACATCAACGCTACAACATCTAACTCAAAGTAAAAGGAATCAGGATTGCTAGATGAAGTGGTAACAATTTGGAGGCTGTAGATAAATGAATATTTTTAAATATTGGACATCTGACCCAGATCCATTACAGGCTAATAATAGGCCCAATTAATGGATTTGTGGCAGGATCTTTGATTGGGCCTAGCATTTTTGGGATGTTTTAGGGAGTACTGGATTGGTACCATTGGTGGGTGATGACCAAGGCTCATTAGCCCACTGATAATCTTGCTTAAGGAAGCCCAAAACTCAACCATATGTCATCGATAACATGTGATCTTTGTCAACCCCTTTATTAAAAACCAAGGCGATTATCATCTTATCATTAATTCACCTTTCATTATCAACAATCTACCAATTTCTGCTATAAATACGGAGCTTATTTTCATGATTAGGGGAATCTTGTAAATAGCGTTGCTCTCATTATCTCTCCCAAATTCTATCTTCAAAACCTTCCACGCTTCCATACTTCGAAACACCTCCAAATAGGGTTGGTTACTTGTATGCAACACTGCCTCTCTCTCTCTCTCTCCATACAAAGAACTCACACCCCTTGTCTACAAAGGCTTCTATAAGCAGTTCTAGTGATGGATCAAGAGCACATGTACATTTTGACTTGCTTCCACGGAACAAGTTGACCAAAAATAAGTGGTGGTATTTCTGTACCTAAGATTGTTTCAGTTGAATCGGTGAGTGAGCATGTGTGTTTGTGCATGCTTGCATATTTACTGCCAGAGCTTGACGATAATATTAACATAAAAATTTATGCTAATCACACAATTTCTAAAACCTAAATTCAAAACTTAATTTTTTAGCAATTAAAACCTTTGTATATCAATGAACAGATTCATATACAACAGAAAAGGTCATAACTTACACGAAGCTAGCAGCACATTGTTGTCATGTAACTCTTCATTAGGCCCGTCAAAGAGATCAACTCTCTTGTTGTTTTCAAGATTTGTAGCGTATCTGTATCACCACACAACAATGTTGAAACAGGGAACACAAAGGATAAGAAGCATGGCGACAGATTATTAAACAGTTGTTAATCATTATAGGCAACATGTAAAATAATTAACAACATGTGATAAAAATAAATATGATATGTTATGGAAACAGAAGCATCCTTGCATGGATAACAAAATCAGTAACAGGACAAATTACCAACATATTTTATTCAGAAAAATGCAAAGCATTATGTATAGGTTCTATCCTTCCAAGAACCCTTCAACATTCTGATACAAAATCCCATGATTTTCCATTTTGCGGATAGTTATTAAGTGAATTCACCAAATGTGAAGCTACCAGAAAAACAAGCCGTCAGCCTACCATGGAGAACACTTGTGGACCAAAACTGAACTTGTTGAAATGAACTCACAATCAGATTTGAAGATTGTAAAAGAAATGTGTGCAAGGAAAAAACACAAATATGCACTCACAACAACAAAGAGAAGGCATTATTTATTATGCAAAATGATGATGCCAAATTACCACAAGCATCAACATATTTCAACTTTTTCATTTTTCTTTTACAGATTAAGGGGGTGTCAAGTATGATAGAAATGTTAACCAAACAGATAAATTCCTAGTAAAGTTTTTTTTTAAAAAAATAAATTACAAAGATTTTTCTGATGACTGAAAATGAAAATACGAACTCCAGAAAGTGAAATTGAGCTAGTGATGAAACATGGAAAAAAATCATAATCCTATAACTGAAGAAAGGACATGTCATCGCCTACTTCACCTCAAGAAGAAAAGAAGACATCAGTTCATCCAATTAGATCCTCTTAACAGTAAGAACAAGTTCATTTTTTGTTCATGGCACTACCTCTTGGTGCCACAAACATAGATGGAAACTTCTATAAAGATAATCAACTTACTGCTTTTTCAGAGCAACATATGAATTCAACTCTTTGACCTGCATAGTAATGACAACGAAACTCAGAAAACATTAGACATGCAGAGGGACACAAAAAAAAATTATGCAATAACATAGAGCATCAAGCTCTTGATAAATCAAAAGCCCACCATTGATTGCTTTTTCTCATTCAACATTTTGTTGGTGTCTAGATCATTTCTACTCTCCACATCCTTCACTTCTTTGTCAAACTCTTTGATAAGCCTGGAAAACAGGAGGACATTATTATGATTCTAATTCTAATACTAATTGAATATGAATGAAAGAGAACAGATAAAAAAAAGTAAAATTACAGTGTCAGCAGTATATCTCCTATTAACCTGACTGTATTGTATGAGATGTCCAGGTTGTGGATACTTGATCTATAGACTTTAAGATTCCCAAACATATCAACGTCTTAGAAACTCAGTCCAGAGGGTTTACAATCATTGCTTTATCTATGAGCTTAATATTCATCCTATAATGTGAAACTATGATAACAGAAATGGAGTTGACTATAAAAGAATTCAAGTTTCAGCATAGAAAAAGGTTGAAGATATATGGATAGGAACCCTGAGAAAAGGAATACCAGTAAATAAAATTCTATAGTTGGTCAGAGACTCCCAGACCCCTTAAATTTACCATCTAATTCTCACAGAATCCAGGAAAACATATAGTACAACTGATGTAATAACAGCCCTGTGTAAAACATTGTTTTCTTTTTCCACGAAACAGAGCGTGAATGTTTCATAATAAACAAAGAAAATAAAATATACTTTTCACCATTGGTCATCCATAAAGTAAATGTTTTGCACTGAGTAAGTGTTTTTTTTCCCAGCCACATACTGTATTCATTCAATAATGAATTTGAAAGTGTATTCAGCCAACGCTGAGCTGTTAAATGCACACTAATACATGCATTTGAAAAAAGAGAGGAGGTTCAATTTCTGAATACCTCTTACACTCCCGCATCTTCCCCGTAAGTTCTTCCAACTGCCTACTCTGTCTATTGACATCCTTAATCTTCTCCAAATTCTGGAATCCCTTTCTGCAACAACAACACAAACACGCATTGCATTTAACTATCCAATTCATGCTAGCCCACCAATAACGACCTATGGCTTGCCAATTTTCCATAAAATCAACGTCAATAAACCAACAAAATTAACTCATAAACAAATCAAATAAATCTCCAGCTTCGAATGCCAAATAATTCATTGACGAACATGCAAATCTTATATTTCAGCATTCATTAACTTGATAATTTCAAAAACTAAAGCTAGATGATCAAGAAATCGCAATGTAAATAAAACCTAAAACTTTAATCAAATAAACAATCTTCCACAAATCCAATTACATTAAAAATGGATGATACCGTAACGGAACAAAGAAAAAGAAGTTAAGATAAAATCTTACGATAAAGCTCGAAAAAGATCGGCGACCTGCCCATTGATCTCCGCTAGCTCTTCACTGACGGACGATAAAGGATCCATCTCTGCCTATAATTCAATAATTCCCAATAGACATGCAAAGAATGATTCAAGAATCAAGCTCGAATGACGAAAATGAGCTCGAAATCCAATCAAATCCGATAGTATTTACAAATGCAGAATAATCTCTCTGAAACAATACAATGCCGCACTCAAAAATTGAAATGAATCTCGAATCTATTTACACAAATGCCTGTGATTGCAATTGGTAGCTAAATTGTGTGAGCTACGAATCTTGAATTGAATTGAAAAAAAGGATAAAAATTCAAATTCGTGGAATTTGGAATCCTAGTCAGAATGTAGATAATGAAATCGACAAGGAGACCAAGATCGAAGGTTTCACAGTTTCTCTCAGAAACCTCAACACAGACAGTCTCTGTATTTCTTTTTTAGTTTTGTCTCTGTGCCGTTACTTATTTTGTTGTTGTTTTAAGGGTTTTTTTTTTTATACTATTATTATCACGTTGTTTTCTTGTCAACGGCAAACGCTAACGGGTTTGCCTCTAACGTTGACTTTGAGAGAATGAAACGACATGGGCTGGCCTAACCCACTCGTTACTTGGACCTGACGAACGTAACGGTTTTATCGGCTTTTCGGTGATTGGCCATCTTAGGTTTCCCATTAAAATTAAAATCAAAATTATAAAGAAATCTAAGAGTTGTGCTGATTTTATTGTGCAATCCATTATCCACCAAGACTGATGGGCCTCATAATAGGTTAAAAGTAGGCCTCGCTTTGGGTTAATGGGCCAACATTTAGCTGGTCCATGTTAAATAGAAGAGAAGGCCTGCTTTTCAGTGTCTATTATTTGAATACCTGATTTTTATTTGCAAATTACGTAAGTGTTGTGTAACAGCATGTCCAATGGGAAGCCTATCGGCTACAGAAGGACATGGCAATTATGGGTGAAAGCAAGGAGACACGGCTTTCAATTTATTTATTGTTTTTTTTTTTTAATATTTTTTTAATATTAATATATTAAAATGATAAAAATTAAAAATACCGTTATACCACAAAAACAAACATACACTTCAAAATTAATTAATTGCATTTTTGATACTGTGATTCGATATATTTTTAAAAATATTTTTTATTTAAAAATATATCAAATAATTTCTTTTATTTTTAAAACTAAAATATTAAAAACATAAAAAAATATCAATTTAATATTTTTATAAAATAAATATACTTTTAAAAGATACTCAAAGATAAAAGTCACCATGCTTTCCAACAGCATTTAGTAATGCTGTTTTTAAAAATATTTTTTAAATTAAAAATATATTAAAATAATTTTTTATTTATTTTTAACATCAGTATATTAAAATTATTTAAAAAAAAATTAAAATCATAAATCCAATGTTTATTAAATAAAAAAAACACTTAGTTTTTCTTTAGAAAAAAATATTTACCTCAAATTCAAATATTTGTGTCCCGACCCATCCTTCCAAAATTGAAGGTAGAAAAGAGGTAAAAAAAACCCACCACACAAACGGATGTGAGCCCAAATGGGATTTTAATTCTCAGCCCATTCTGTAACTAGAAGGTTTATAAATCGGAAGTAAAGAAACCCTCCAGGTGCTCCTGCTGCTGCTTCTTTCCAGTCCACAACCCAGAGATCCTTCAAGGCGACCACCATGGTACTTTGTCTGTCTCTGCATGTGTAGTTTTCTTATGCATTACGTTGTTTCCATGGAAACGGTTTTAAAATAAAACAGGTTTCTTCTTTTGTCTTTGTAAAGATTGTTTTATGGTTGGGATTTGAGGACTGTAATTAATTTTCTTGGTTTAGTAAGTTTAAACATTCAGAAATTTTTGGGATGATTGAATTTTATGATTTTTTTACGTGCTTGTAATTGTAGTTTTTCTGATCTTACAAGTGATTTTTAACTACCATATATTTTTGGGATCTTGGTTGGTGCTTAGAAGTTTCTGATTCTACGATTTGGAATCACTTGTAAGGATTAATGCATTTTGCATTTGATTCTTTGGTTTTCAGAGATGAATGTTTCAAATTGTGCATCTTTTTATTTTGGTTGCAGACTAAGAGAACTAAGAAGGCCGGGATTGTTGGAAAATATGGTCTGTGTCTATCCATCACTTTAAACAATCTATTATTCGTCCAAATATATTTGTATTCAACAAACTGCATGTTTGAGCTTGTATTTATAGTCAAGAAGCTTTAACTTGTACACTCGCGTGGTATTGCTTTCATAATTCCATACTGCATAGGAAGAATCTGATCCTTAGCATTGTATCTCATAATTCCATACTACATAGGAACAATCTGATCCTTGGCATTGTATCTTATGTTTGATTCAAAGTTTAGGTTCTTGGACTGAAAATTTCTAATGTTTAAACTTGTTTCTTGATGCAGGTACCCGTTATGGTGCCAGTCTGCGTAAGCAGATAAAAAAGATGGAGGTTAGCCAGCACAGCAAATTTTTCTGTGAATTTTGTGGGAAGGTAAGCCGTTTGTAACCATGTCAATCCTGTTTAATACGCAGGCTGACAGTTTTTGTGTTTGTGTGCGTGAATTCGTGAATATTGTTCCTTCTGTCATGTGTTAGGTGATGGTTGTCTTATAATCTCATCCACATCTGCAGTATGCTGTGAAGAGGAAGGCTGTTGGAATTTGGGGATGCAAGGACTGTGGGAAAGTCAAAGCTGGTGGTGCCTACACTTTGAACACTGCCAGTGCTGTGACAGTGAGGAGCACAATTCGCAGGCTGAGGGAGCAAACTGAGAGCTGAGCTGCTGTCAAGAATCCACTCTATTGTCTTTAGGGTATCTGCATTATTGTCTTAGATACAGACTGCTTGGAAAATGTTTTTGAGGATTTTCTATCCATTTGCACCATTCTCCTTATGGACTGGTTCTGTTTGCTGGTTAGGCACTCGAATATATCCCGTTAAGATTTTGGCTTTAAGATTTTTGCGTTCTGATTAATCTGTTCGTATCCATTTTGCCCTTGCTCTCATACTTGGCTGCTTAGCTCCTTTACGATTTTGCGTTGGGATGTTTTTTTAAAGCATTTCAATGCTATTTAAGCTGGAGGCACAATTTTGAGCATTTCGATGCTTTTTACGCTGGTAGTGCAACTGGAGAATATTGTTTGAATAGCTAGTTTTATTTGGTCGTTTCTGCTTAGAGTGCCTGCCGGCTGCCACTCACCCGCAGCTTGTAACGGTGCAGACCAAAACCGCAAGGACGCTTTGTTGCAAGATATACATATGGTTTGCTTCTTTGCTGTGTTCTTAAAGGTGATTGGATAAATGAAATCCTTCTCGAGATAAATGAGACACCGAATAGTTTGTGGAAAATTGAAATCATTTCCCAAGTAACTAGTAGAAATCTCTAATGATTTTCTGGGCAAAATCTGGATGAAATATCAACCCCCAAAAACAGAATTCAGCCAGTAAAGCACCTCGGTTCCCCGTATTTAACTTTTGATACGCAAATATACTGGCATAAAATAAAATACAACAGAAATTATGGATCAAATTCTCCAGAGAAGGTGAGTGCTTCAACTTCTCGTATAAACCACTCATAATACTGCTGCATCATTCCGTGCAGAAAGTACAGATACAACCACTTACATTTACAAGTTGAAAGGTTTAGGCACACCCCGTGATCAATGGTATTGCAATCCTTGACTTGTAAGCCTATTACACAACCTTCAATCTTAAACATCCCACTCAACCTATGTACAAAGTATCGAGGCCAATAGGAAAAGGTAGAATCCATCTTGCTCCTCAATCAGTCATGGCCTCTACTTACTGAGTGTTGTTCCACGTAGGTACCAAATACTTTTTATCGTAACGGGAAATTAAATGATAAACAACAACAACAACATTCATAAGCCTCTACCAACGTAGATACAAACTATCGAGACCATTAGGAAGTGGGGGTCCCCGTCTTGCTCCTCAATCAGCCATCTCTTCCGGTGACTAAAATGTGGTTCCAAGCAGGTACCAACCACCTGTATCATACATTAAAACAAGATTGAAAATATTCCCACTCAAAATTTGACGCAACTGCAAAAGTAGCAGCAAAAATGTTGTTTTGCAGCATTTCCTTGTTCCTTTTCAGTTCTCGTCAGAACGTCATGCTGTGGTATTCAACCCATAGCAGATGCATGATTCTGAAGAAGCCCCAAACCCTTTAGGATTAAACAAAAGGAGTTGCTACATCATCACTGTTCTGGTGGTGCATTTGTCTTTGGACGGCCTTAACTGCTGCAACTCTTGCAGCATTGGCTGCTTTGTTAGCATGTGCAATAGTTTTGTTCACCCTCTCCTCTATCCTTGCCGCATCACATGCTTTCGCAGCAGCTCGCTTTGCTTCCTGTATTTATCACAGTAAAAGTAAGAAAGAGAAAAGTAAATCGTTCAAAGATACAGGTAGTATATAGTTTATCAATATGTAACTAAATTGTTCAGTATTCGGCAGACTTCAGAGAAAAGCCCCATCATCCAAGAAGAAAATGTCAGGTAGAATGAGATCAAAAGCCACAAGGAACTCTAAATATGCAAGAGATTATTAAGTACTCCTGATGCAATGCTCCTCAACTCAAATAAAAGTGGAACCTGTTAGTAGTTATCATTGCGTGTCCCATTTTTATGTGAGTGTGGGAGCAATACCCCAGGAGCATCTAATTTCTTAAAGTATTCTTCTCAGGTTATGGCTCGTGACTCACTGAGTGCTTGCAGCTGGTGTAAATGCACTATCCTTGGACACTTCCAACAAGTTGAATTATACAACAAACTTTGGAAGTTACTTTCTAAAGAAAAACCAAAAGCAGCCTGCTACCCAAAAAAGCCATAAAAGGGAACTAATTAAGGTTCATCAAAAGCAGAACTTGCACACAGGGTTCAAGTCTTGGAGAATTCCATAGTTTACATGTTTTGTACAATACACAAACACCATATCATATGACCTGCAATCTTATCGGTCCGTGGATCACAGTGACCAAATTAACAGCTGACTGTTGATGGTCAATCCTATTATAACTTGCATAGATGTCAAGACTTAAATACAGCTTATTGTATCCAGTATTTTATTCTACATGCCAACTCAAGTTACAAACACTACATTCTCTAAACTTAATATTTTTTGTTAATTTGGTTTTTGTTTCATCTAGAGAATCTTAACAAAGCATCCTTGAACAAAAGGCAAAACATGTGTTTACCTGGACAGCATTAACAACTTTAGGATGACTAATAGCATTTGGAGACTCAGGATTGCCATTCTCTACAGTGGACACATCAAGAATCCCATTTTGCCAGTGACCAGATTGTGTTTCTCCATTTCTGAAAGTGTACATACCAAGCCCTTGCCTCCTTCCCTCATGCCATGCTCCTTCATACCGATGTCCATTTCCAAACTGATAGACTCCAAAACCATGCATCTTATCTGCAAAATATTCCCC